CTTGGGGGACTAGAGACGCCGGAGAGCGGGTATGGCAGCTCCGAGGTCCTGCTGTCCTATCTCCAACCTCCCCACGGTCACCAGACCGAGTCTACGGTGATTTCAATTCATGTATGCAGCACTAAAATGATTTTCATGTATTATCCCTGTGACGAGGGGGAGAGGTTCTGTGGCAAGCTGTGTCTAGCACTGTTTTTCTGTTTGACACTTTGGTGTGACCTAAAATACTTTGGAAGTTACCATAAATCTCAGATCTTACAAATAAGATAAACCCAGTAAAATAATCTCCCAAGGAAGATAAATCTAGTGAGGCTTGATGTTATTAATTTTGTCTGTTTTCCCGATTTCTCCAATGTTTCCCTGCTACTCTCCCTGGGTGCTTTGTACCACTTTGCTGAGAGCTGGCCCTTTGACACACAGAGGTGGTATTTGACAGGTTAGGAAGACTTCTCGGGCAAATACCAGCCTGGAGTTTAAATAGAAATGGACAGTTAGCAAGCAGATAAGAAATAGAGCCAGTGAGGCAGAAGGATCGTGCCCCACCCTCGCCAGGAAGGAATTCATAATAAAATTATGCAACGATCCACCTGAGACCTTCTCTCAGCTGAACCTAAAGGGTGAAGAGATGTTATTATTAGTTTAAGTTACACTTCCCTTCTCAACAGATAAAATATTGCAATATTTGGGACATACTCACTTAAAAGGAGTATTTGTTGTGTATCTGAAACTCAAGGTTGGTGGGATGTCCTGTACTCTTCCTTATCTGGGGAGAGCAGGGACACAGTTGTGACTCAGCCGGCATGCCACAGCCCACGCCAGACAAGTCAGACGACAACATGGGGGACTGAGCTCCCTTTTCTCATGTGAGTTCCAGGGCTTGAACTCAGATTCACCGACTTAGTGGCAGATGACTGAGCCATCTTGCCTGCCTGGACAGCCTATGTTCTTAGTCACCGACTCTGGGAACTTTATCATCAAGACTGAACATTTGATTTAGCATGGTCCTCTGTAGCCTGGCCTCACCGGATGGGGATCGCCAGAAAGGACTCTCCCCCTGGCCAACTTCCCTCGTCAAATAACCAACAATTGGGTTCTTTGTCCAAAAACAGGTCAAGAAGTTTAAATACCATAAACCAGCTCCCAGGATTGCCCTGGTCCAGCCAAAAGGGTTTACTCTGGGCCAGCACGAATTCAAGAAGTAAACGTTTCTTCCCTCATCTCTCCCTGGGATGGCTGAGCGGCACTCTCGGCCTGTCTAATCATTCCTCCCCCATTCTCTGTCCTTTCTGTTACTTGACAGTTGTTATTCCAGAGTGGCTCTTGGGTGAGGGAATCAGGCCTCCTAGACCACCACTGCTCTTCATTTTCTGTGGGATGAACTTAGGGACAGGGGGATGACCATCTTTCTTCACTTCTGACTCTGTGCTATGTAGTGTGTGTTTTTAACCCCTGGCACACCTTCCGTGGTAGCCTGGGCTTCTGGCTCCTCTTGGTGTTTTCCTGTTCATACGCAAGCTCGATTTGGCACCTTTCCAGAACAGTCATCCACAAAGTTTAAGCGCCATGGTAATCACTTTTCCCGGCACTGTGATGAAATGCCTAAAAGGAGCAATTGCAGGGAGGAGGGATTTGTTTCGGCTCCCACATTGAGCGGATGTAATTCATCTTGATTTGGAAGGCATGGAGGCAACAGGAGAGAGAATAGCCTCCTCACATCTCAACACCACAGGAAGTGGAGGTGGGACAGGAAGTCACACTGGGCTGCAAACTTCAAGGCCCACACCACGAACTCAACTTCTTCCACCTCTCAAAGCTTCCATAGCCTCTCAAAACTGGTTCCCCCATCTGGAGCCCAAATGCTCAAACCTATGAGCCCATGGGGGATATTTTACATGCAAAGCACCATGGGTACTAGCTGAAGAATCCCATTTCACCCTCCACGAGCCTTGGCGTTGGGCAGGCAGATGCGAACATCTCTTCATGGATGACACCCGACTCCTAGTGCCTGTTCACTCTTGAGTGTTTAACATTCTGGGGTAAAAGAGGAAAAAAATCTTTCTCCTCTGCACTTGGCAGTTCTGTGCCTGGGTCCTGGAAAATAAACAGATGAAAGACGGTGCTGACTGTGTGTGTGTACAAGTGGAGGTCTTCAGAGAACTGGGGACTCGGAGAAGCAGGCATGTGAAGAGCTGGTCTTCTAGTCAACAAATAGGCAGATGAACTGAGCAGACAGTTCTCAAAGCGGAAACACAGCAGCCACTAAATATTTCCTTTTTTTGCTACCTTTTACTTGCTTTGCCTGTGTGTGCCATGGTGCACATGTGAGGTCGGAGGACAACTTGTAAGAGTCGGCTCTCTCTTTCCGCCACGTCAACAGGCTCCAGGGATTAAGCCCCGGGCGTTAGGTTTGGGTACAGGTGTTCTTAACCACTGAGCCATCTCCCTGGCCCAAACAACCATTTCAAAAAGTTATTGATGAGGGAACTGCAAGTTAGAACTACTTTGAGATTCCACCTCAGGCCCTTCGGAACGGCTAAGTCAAGAGAACACGTGAGAAGGAATGCTGGCCAGGCTGCGGGGACAGCGGAGGCCTTAGACTGTTGGTGGGAGTGTAAACTGATACAGCCACTGTGGGGGGTTCTCAAAACATCTAAAACAGAACTACCCTGTGACCCAACTACAGCACACTCCTGAGCATGCACCCAAAGGGCTGTAAATTCCACCGCTGGGACACTTGGACGTCCATGTTTATTGCGGCTCTATTCACAACAGCAAGAACATGGAATCAGCCTAGATGTCCATCAATAGATGGACACGTAATAAAAAATGTGGCACATGACACAATGAAATTTTATTCGACCATAAAGGAAAACGAAATCACGCTCTTTGCAGAAAAATAGATAAAAGTAAGAATTATGTCAAACAAACTCTCCTAGACTCAGAAAGATGCATGTCTGTTTTCGCTCACCTGCAAATCCTGGACTTTGAATTTTTGTATGTGGGGATGGGTGTTTAGGACATGGAACCAGAAAAGGGACAATGAGATGGAGAAGGAGAGAGGGAGGGGGTAAAGTCAGTCAAAAAATGATGTGTCACAAAAGCAAACATGGGGGGTGGCACTGTGGGAAAGAGGGCCCATGAAGGGGAGCCAGGGGGAGGAGGAGGGGAGGGGAGGAGGGGGAGGAGCAAAAACAATGTATGGAAATCACAGCCTATGATTCCTGTATGTGTGTACGCATGTGTACGTATTTATGTGTGTGGATACATGTGTGTACAGGTGCTCATGATGTGTGTGCATATGGAAGGCAGGTATCCTGTTCAGATGCCATGTATGTTCTTTTGGAGACAGGGTCTCTCATTGGCCTAGAACAGGCTAGGCTCGCTGGCCAGTGAGCCCTGGCTCTGCCTGCCTCTGCCTCCCCAGAGCTAGCATTACCAAGGGACACCACTATGCCCAGCACTTTTTTAGTGTGGACTCAGGATCAGCTCAGGCCCTTGTGCTTGCAAGTCTAGTCCTATATTGACTGAGCCGCCTCCTCAACCCCTGTTAGTTAACTTTCAAAACCCAAACCAAACATAAATAAAAACAGAATGTGTGGATTTATAAATGATAAATCATTCGAAGAAGCAAAGACAGGTGGGCTACCAAGAGGAGGCAAGTGAGCCCCCAGGAAGGGATACTCTTGAACCTGCTGAGCTGCTGCGGGCTGTGCATTGTGCTCCAGGTGCCCAGCTTTGTGAGCTGTCACCCATGCTGGGGTGGGCTTTGGTGACACAGCTGTCTTTGAGTCATTTCTGCTCCTATAAGTGACCCCTCCCCCATATTCCTATAAGTAACCCCAATAAAACTCATTGGTTCACAAGCTGGGCTTCAGTGGTATCTGTACTTCGGTCTGTCATCCATTTAAAAAAAAAAAGAAGAGGATATATCATATAGTACTTTCACTTGATAATAGCATTAAAATAATAAAAGATGCAGATAGAGCTAGGGGTCTGTATGCTGTAGTTGGAATTTTCTCCAGTTCCGCTCAACCCCTGCAGTCCAGCAGCCCACTTATAAAATAATCACTCAAAAGCTTATATTACTTATAAATTATATGGCCATGGCAGGCTTCTTGTTATCTAGTTCTTATATCTTTTTTTTTTTTTTTTTTTTTTTGGTTTTTCGAGACAGGGTTTCTCTGTGTAGCTTTGTGCCTTTCCTGGATCTCGCGCCGTAGACCAGGCTGGCCTCGAACTCACAGATCTGCCTGCCTCTGCCTCCCGAGTGCTGGGATTAAAGGCGTGCGCCACCACCGCCCGGCCTAGTTCTTATATCTTAAATTAACTCATTTCTATTAATCTATACCTTGCCACCTGGCTCGTGGCTTAATGGTACCTTACATCTTGTTTGTCATGGCGGGGGCTGGCAGCGTCTCCTCATTCAGCCTTCCACTTCCCAGAATTCTCCTCTCTCTTTGTCCCTCCTATACTTCCTGCCTGGCTACTGGCCAATCAGCACTTCATTTATTAATCAATCAGAGCAACACATTCAGAGCATACAGAACATCCCACAGCAGTATGCCATGCTAGCAAGAGTCATACATTGTAGAGAAGTAACCAGGCTAAGGAAAGAGGGTGGGCCTCTAGGAACGGCAAACATTTGGAGTGCAGTCTCATTGGAGCTTATAATTATGGTGGAGTAGCGCTATCGACCACATAGCGTTCCTTTGGTCTGTAAAGAGAAGGGAAAGGAAGAACAAAAGGAGATGGTCAAATTCAAGACTGGTTCCGGCTCCACAGCGCGAGCTCCAGCTCTTACCCTCGTGACTCTGTGGGTTTGCTAACTGAACCAGCTCTTACTCTATCTGCCCGTAACCCAACTACTAGCTACCCAGAGCTTTGAACGTCTCTCTTCTGCTAAGTCCCCAGGGCTTGTCAAAGCCCAGGTGGAGCTTCCCGTCTTAATTGCTGGCCCCAGAGCTGCCTCTGCTGTTTCCTGACCATCAACTTATTTTCAGCTTCTCGATAGCTACCTTGAAGCCTACCAGCACACATTGGACCCCGAGGAGCGGTTCACTTTAGCACAAGCCATGACTGACATTATGCATCGGCGCCCCAAGTTTGATCTCAGCCACTCGTATTTCACTAAGGCCTACCAAGATGACTGTACCTGCCTGAGGCTTCACCGGCAGCTAGTGAGGGGCATCCTCAGCCACCACGTGAGTAAGGCCTTCAGCTCCATCTGAGAAGAGGATGGAAGGCGTAAGCCGGAAATCAAAGTAGCATTCCTTCATTGTAGGTCCAGAATGTGGGCTTTCTGGGCAGAATGTTTATTTGTAAGCTCATTTGCACTTCTGAATTCCAAGCATAACTTAGGACTTCAAGGGAGGTTTCTCACCTCAGCTACAGTGATCCACAAGGAATTGAGGACATCAGTCTTATGAAATCATAGTTATTGTCAATAAAAGGATGAATGGTGCATCCTTCCAAGACACTGGCATATAAAACTGTGATTTTTTTCCCCCCATGTAGAGAGGATTTTTGTTTGGCTAGTTTTGTTTGTTTGCTTTGTTTTTGGTTTTTGAGACAAGGTCTCACACTGTAGCCTAGGTGTGCCTCGAACTCCTGGCAATCCTGTCTTAGCCTGCCTCAGTTACAGATTATGCCCCACCACACCTGGCTTTGGCTTTTTATATTATATTACATTTTGTTGTTGTTGTTGTTGTTGTTGTTGTTGTTGTTTTCAAAACAGGGTTTCTCTGTATAGTTTTGATGCCTGTCCTGGATCTCACTCTGTAGACCAGGCTAGCCTCAAACTCACAGAGATCTGCCTGACTCTGCCTCCCGAGTGCTGGGATTAAAGGCGTGTGCCACCACTGCCCAGCTCTTATTTTACTTTTGAGACAGGCCATACACTGCAGTCCTGGCTGGTCTGACACTCTCTGTGTAGACCAGGCTGGCCTTGAACTCACTGAGATCCACCTGCCCCTGTCTCCCAGGTGCTGGGATTGAAGGCATGCGTCTCTGGCCCAGCTTTCTTTTGTTTTTTCGAATTGGTTGGCTTTCCTTTCCTTGGCTGTCTTTTGACTGAGAGACCAGAACGTTCCATTGCAAACGGGTCTTCAAAACCATGTCTGAGTGAAAAACTAGTGACGTGATAGAGACATGAGGGGGTTAATCCCTTCATCAAGGCTCACGGCTCAGGTCTGGGGATGTTTATTCATTTTAGCGAGAGCAGCAGCGGGAATATGTCCAGAGGCTCTGGCGAGGGGATCATCCTGCGGCTCACGAGACGTTCGGACTTCCCCTGAACATAATTTGCAGGCAGTTTGTTTCCATCAACAACAGCTGGTAAGTGGATGTTGTCTTTAGACATTTTACATTTAATCACTTCTAGAGCAGTTAAGGATGCAGAGTTGGATCAAAGTACTATGCGTTAAAGCACTGTGTGGATGTGAGAGACCTTGAGCTCACGCATCTGAAGCCTGTGTGTGTTTCAAGTCTCTCTGAAAGGAATCTCTTTCTTCTCACAGTATCACTAAAGAGGCTTCTGAGAATTGTTCCAGATGGACCTCTGGGCACTACCCCTTCAAAGAGCAGTATTCAATTTCCTGAGGCCACCCTAAATGGGTACACATTTTGTCACTCCCCCAAAAATGACTACTTTCTTCTCTCATTCCTTTCTAGCCTTTAAGTTAGAAGGAACTGTGAGGTGACAGACCCCAAGTTGAGTGGGACATCCTGAGATCAAAATCTCCCCATTGCCTCCACATGGTGTGGAGTGATCGTCTCGCCCCTCTCAACACCCAGCACATTCTTTTGAGGACACAGATGTGAACATAGGCATGGCCCAGAGCTCCCATAGGTGCACATTAAAGACAGTCTTTATGTAAGAAGTTGTCATGATAGGTTCCAGCTTGGGGACAGGCAGGGCACTAGGAGAGGTAACAGCAAAGAGTCTACCTTCGTAAGAAAGAAGTCCAGCCAAAGCCTGCATTTCCCCCAGAGACCTCTCGCAGCACGGTGTCTCCACCAAGACGAGCTTGCTACCAGCTGTGTGTACATCTTGCTGTGGAAAGAATCTGCTGCTCAGGAAATGGGTTTTGGCAGACCAGGCTAAGGCTAGGATGGAATCTAAAAGCTGTCAGAGTCGCCAAACCTGGTGCGATTTGCTCGGTTGAAGCTTATTTCCAGGTTTTGAGCTCTATGCTTTAGATCTAGAAACCCATTTACACAGGTTCTAATGGAAATATCTGTGCTCTTCAGTTTTAAGGTAGGAAAGCCATTGACTTGCTCTGTATCATGTATTTCCAAAAGTATAATCTGCAGACAAATGTTTTACTGATTTTTGTCCTTATCTATTCTAAAAGACAATATCCTTATAATACATACAAAGGAGTCCAGCAGTGTATAGAGAACTTAAAACTTGTCTTTGTTCATTAACATTTGGGGAGAGGAAAGGAAAAAAAATTCAGGTGAAAAATACATGCTAAGATTCATGGAAATTGGATCTCTGTAAGTTCTAGGCCAGCCTGGTCTACAAAGCTAGTTCCAGGACAGCCAGACTGTTTCACAGAGAAACCCTATTATTGGTGAAATTATTAAGGCCACTCCACACAGTTAAAAGGGAGATTTATTTAGTGGTATAACTTACAA